GATTATCTAACATGATGTTTACTGTGATCAGTGAAAGAGCATTTTTATTACTGACATAATTACTTTYAGCTTATAGCAGTGAAATGCTGTTGTTACTGTGTGCAAGTGGTAAAATATACTTTCACATCTCAGTCGCAGAGTGCTCCATTTCCCAGAAGAGCAGGTGATGACTGCGGACCCTGCAGCCGCTGAGTAACCAGGAGAACAGGCAAAAGAAACACTGGAGCCATCTTCAAATGWATCCTTCAAGATGGCGTCTCCCTTCAAATCCATGTTTGGGTTTCCAACAGGTTTGGAGCAGCTTTGAGCTGGAATGACATTTATTTACAAAGTGAAGGAGAGAGACGAGAAGAACTGGACGAGCTGTCAGGCTGGTCCCTCCGTGTCCTGGGTTGAACTCACCAACAGCTGTAATGGTAAGGCTGCTCAGCAGAAAAAGGGCAGTGACACTCATTGCGGGATTTAGCATTGTAATCTGGTCACAAGAAAAAGCAAATGTAAAAAAAAAAAAAGGCAAATATCAGACAGGAAAGTCCTTGTTTAACTAAGATGAACAGTAATGATAAGTTAATGGAGTCCAAACACAGTTAGCTATTAAAAMAAATTGGGATATTTTTCAAGGTGTGGAGAGTTAATTTACAGTTTCTTTGTTTCAGGGACAATATTTCATAATAAATAGGCAACATCATGTTTTGAATGTCAAAACAGCCTGTGAACGGTCGGCAAAGCTGGATGTTGTTGAAAGATAAAGAAGCTCACGTGATGACGTCAACAACCGCATTCGTCCCTGTAGCTACACCAAACAATTACGTMACGTTTACTTCTTAGCGATGAAAGCCTGCTCAATAAAAATGTATAAATGTAGAATTACCTGCCGAACCGACTGCTGCTTCAATCAGCTCTGCTTCAACGGGATGGACTGGACTGGACTTCCTCTGTGGCCGCTTCCTCTTTTTTGAAAGGAACAAATACATTAGCGCCACCAACTGGTAGAAGCTGGCATTTGATTTGGACAATGGAGATTTTCTAATAAAAAATTTTTTTTAAAACCAGTGTAAAAATAGCCTGGTTTAAACCAGACCCTGTCCTTCACTTTGCTTCGTACAAGGGAAACTAGAATTGTGCGGAGCTGTGTAGGAAGGCAAGGGCCAGGCTAGTGTAAAAACAATGTGCATAAAATTTCTTTGGAATGAGTTTCATGTTTAAAAATAAAACCAGTAAAATAAAAATAGATGTAGCAGGAAGCTCAGGACATAGCTTCTGAATTTAGTAAACCCTGCAAGATGACCGTTATACAGCTGAATTGATATAAATGATCTACACTCACCGGCCACTTTATTAGGTACACCTGTCCAACTGCTCGTTAACACTTAATTTCTAATCAGSCAATCACATGGCGGCAACTCAGTGCATTTAAGCATGTAGACATGGTCAAGACAATCTCCTGCAGTTCAAACCGAGCATCAGTATGGGGAAGAAAGGTGATTTGAGTGCCTTTGAAC